GTGAAAATTGCAAAAAAAACTTTGTAAGGGTGGTGGTGCTTTTGGTTTTCCTCCCTATAATTACAATATTTATTTTTGACTACTTTATTGTGTAAAAACATAATGAAAGTACCATAGCGGAAAAAGAAATAGAACTGTTAGAAATCTCATCAATACATTATGCAAGAAAAAAGTTTTGGCTATAGAAACCCAAGAAGACGATAAAGCTCCAGAACCCAACGGAATAAGCAACAAAAGATTAAAACAAGCGAAACATGCAACAACAACAAATATGCATGAACATTTAATGTTTGATTCTACGCCTGGGTGTTTCTACATATTATACATATAATATGTATGTATTTACAAAAAAAAAGCATATATGTATGGCTACTAGACAACCGATATAATCGGTTGTCTAGTAGCCATAGTAGCTCTGCTTAGTTTGGGACTAGATGGCGTTGTGTGAATGTGGTAAAAAAAATGTATACAAAAACTGCTAAGAGTGCATTCAGCTAGAATAGAAAGGAGATTCATTTAGGATACAAAAACGAGAAGGAGAAGGAGATCCTCTATCTCCTAAACTTTTCTTCGCTGTTTTGGACATGATCTTCATAAGCTCAACGGTTGCACACTAACACACTTAAGATTTGCCGATGATATTATGTTATTCGCAAAACGCCAGCAGATCTAAGTCCCAGATCTTCCCTTCACTGCACTGTGCGGTTTACGTGTGACTTTGTATGCTAGCAATTTAAAATATTGTTTTTTTGTGTTTTGCCGCGACTAGGCCAAAGGTTGTGTAAAAGGGTTTTGAATAATAATCAAATTGGCAAAAATTAATAATCAAAAATGATCAGGGATCACGAATGATTGTAGGTAATACAACAGCGATTATGGACATTACGGATAACCGGTATCGTACCCTTGTTAGCAATAAAATCCACTAGCAACGAAACGATGTTAGCGAATTTTAAGCGTCAAATGGAGGGGATTCGCTACTCAACAAACGAGTTTTACATACGCGGACAAACTTAAGCTTCGCTTACCACCTAAATTCCCTTCGTGCCCGCATATCCCACTACGGAACGCTCATCAGCAACGATACAAGCTCTCATGAAGGCTATTAAACTTAGCGATGAGGGTTTCCAAATTGTAGGCGTTAAAAAACGCGCTAAGGCAGACGTCGTGTTACGGGTAAGTAACGATAGGCAGCTTAAGAAACTGAAATCTGTAGATGCCATTAAATCAGTAGGGTTACGATTAGAAAAACCGAAAGGCCGGAGGCCTAGTTTTAGAGAAAACGTAAATAGTTCTATGGAATATCGTGCTTTCCTAACAGCCTTATATCGTCAGAATATCAAAGACGTATTAAAATTATATAATATAGAGTCACTTACGAAGTATAATATTTCAAATGCGGTTCTTATTTTATTTAAAAGTAATTTATTTTTTTGCTTTTTAGTGGTGTTTTATGATGATGAACTTGGGCGCTTTCTTATACGAGATGCATCTCGTATGAGAAAGCGACGAGCACAGAAGTCTGAAAGTGACAAAGATGAGCGCCTGTAAAGCGCAATAGAGAAAGAAATGGACCACAGAGTCTCGAAAAGTCTTTCGAAAACCGTGAAAAAAGGCTTTCTCAAATGCGAAATTACGCATAATAAATTGTTAAGAGAGATGCTGTGTGGCTATGATTTGCATCTCTCAGTTTCTTTAACCATGTTGTAAAACCTGTGTTTTAACATACGATTAAAGAAACTTACGTACTGCTCTTCGTTAAATACATACAATACATCATTATTAATAATAAAATACTAATTGCTACTAAATCTTACAGTCACGTAGGTATATATGTATAAAAATAGATATTTGTGCGAGTGGGCAGTGAACTCGCGACCCATGACGTTGCAGTCGAATGCCTTACCGTGCGTAACATAGTTCGTCGTTCATCAAAACAGTTCTTCATAAAAAATTATGCTAAACCTTAAGTACTAAACGTGATGTATACCTTTTCCATTTTTGAATACCTTTAATGTAAAATTAAATAAGCTATATTTAGAATTTGCAACGTCATCTAAATCCTTCAATCCGATAAAATATACAGTATTAGTGGTATTTAATCAGAATCAAGCCCCATATAATAAATGTCCCGAAAATCACGGTAAGTGTTGGAGCACAAAAAGAAACAGACACGCCATTTAGAATGTCATGTCTGTCTCCAGACACCCCAATTTTTAGCAGAACTCATACAGTACACATTAACAAACCCATTAGACTCAACCTTAAATGAGAAATACAGAAAAACAACCACCAAAAGTTGAGATTTATAGTAAGGCGAAGTGAGTATGAGATGACTAATATATCTTCACTTTATGTTTTCCACAAGTAATCTGCTTAGCTTACAGTTCCCTTTAAGAGTGAACTTACCTTAAGATATATATGTACGAGTACATATAATAAGATATAGCTCATGTTTAACATCCATAATGGGAACGAATCTAGTATTATCCATCCGTGTGGTGACGGATTAAGAATACAGAGTGTTACCACCCCTATTCCGACTAAGGGAGTAAACTAAGCAAGACAACAGCACTGCAAAGAGAAGGAAAACTTGAAACAAACCCTATATACGTTTATATATATATAGGTAGGTATATATAGGTATAGTAGGCCAAAACCTCCTTTTTAAGGAGAGGCCTACGTCCAGCAGTGGACTAGTAAAGGCTGTTGGTGAAACAAGAAAAGAACTAAACAGTACTAATTAAATCATACTTTAACATCATTTCAAATGTTAAATATTTACAATGAAAAAATCAAATTTACTGAATCCGTTCCAAATCCAACAAACTTACTCTGCCCTGATAATGCTAATGGTACCAATATTTTGATTTTATATTCAAGTTTTCAGTGGCTATAAATTAGCTAGATAATTTTCCTTACATCTAAATTCTTTTATACAGCTGCTTATTATTACGAGTGCACTTTTTTAAACCAAAATTATAGTTTAATACACGATGATAACTCTATCATAATTTAGAACTCTCCCCTTTAATTTCGACCATAGCAATTAACAAACTAATAAAATCGGTATTCACAGTCAAGCCACAAACTAATTCACGTAGAATCATTTTACAAATTCATAGTAAGCTATTCGGCTAGCAATTAGCTGATGAGCTGGCCGGTTGATTGATTGTTCGCATTATCAGTCAGAGGGTCAAAATGGAAATGGCAGACTGACTTCACAGTAAATATTCTAAAACTCTGCAACAAACTTTCATGTTATTTTTTATTTAAAGGATGATTATGATATTTCTAATTTACTTTTAGTATTTTAAGCTACTTTCAATTTGTTTTTAGTTAGGCAACACATAAATAGTATACATGTAGAGAGTTTGATCATAACTTAATTATTTTTCACTACATAATAAAAAAAATATAACCAAATTCAAATAGCGATTAATATACATACAAATTGTGAAAGTTTTTAAAAGTATTCCAAGATAAGATCTTTTAAACTGCTAAATATTCTTTTACATCTATGTTAATATAATACACCTGACGAGCTTGAATATTATACTTAAACGAACGTTTCTATAAAAACTGTAATTGAGTATGAAATTTTCTAGCCCAACTGGATCTTTATATTCTATTTAACAGAAATTAACAGACTTTTAGGTGTGAAGCACTGATAACAAACGTAAGTGAAACTGCGAGGAGCGGCGTGTTTTGAATAAATTACGGTTACGAATATTCACAATACCTTCTAACTTCTAATTCAAGATACAATCTTAAAGGAAATTCATTGGAACACAAAGTTTAAAGTCGCCCCTTAAATTACTTACTTCAATTTCCTAAGAAATATAACTTGATATTGAACATGTATATGTATCTACATATAAATATTTTTAATTCCCAAAGCATTGTCGAAGTCTAAATAAATACCTAATTTAGATATAAAGTGCGAAATTCTGACTATAGCCATCAAAGTTTAGTGGCTAGTTTTAGAATCCTGTTAAGCGTAAACTCTCCGATGTAGCAAGATCTATCGTGACTCCAAATCTTCTCTAAAATCCGTTACTATCTCCTTAATTAAAGTAGATTTAAAGGTCTGCCGTGAATGGTTGTATGAAGAAAAGTGTTTGGAAATTCTGTCTGGTCACTACAAGCTTAGTTTACGATTATAAATTGTGATTATACTGCTTTTGCTCTTAATTTACTAGTTTGTGTAAATTAAGTTTGGGTAGTGAAATTAATACATCATATAGAATCGAAATGAGTCCGAATACCGATTTAATTAAATAAAAGAATTGAATTTGTCGAGCATTGTGTCGACAATTATAATATTTACTATACTGTTATGATTTCACAAAATGTATGTTGAGTGTTTTAGTAATTAAATATGAACAAAGTAACAAATTTGAGCAGATATTCCATAATGAGAATCTATTTTTAAAATATTATTAGGCACTTGGTGAACATATCCCTTTCTTTCAGTTTGTCAATTTAATTTACTTATTTAAACAGTAAATTGAATTGACAAACCGAGAAAAACTTAGTAAAATATCTAGTAAAATGTAACATTAACTGCCAAGATATTCAGGGTAGAAGTGTAAAATTATTAACTATTTTTCCGTAACTAACACACGCAACCATTCGAAAATAGAGATATTTATACACAACTGCATATTGAGAAAAACAAGGTCCCGGCAAAGTTTTATAGTTTCTTAGATAATTTCATAAATAATTAAACTTAACAACAATATAACTGGAGGTCAAATCTGTTTAAAACTAACTTGTACAAGTATACAGTAAATGGTAGAAAAGCAAAAATAGGCCCTTTTTCATAGTAAATAGAGTTTTTTAAAGAAGGTTCATTCAGTAATATATTGTTTTCATATAACTATTGAAATACGCTTTGAGGCAGAAACATTTTCAAAACATTTGCACGACCAGTGGAAGTGGTGAATGGAGAAAAAATTTAATCTTTTTCAATATATTCAGAAAGCGTTTGTTTTCAGAAATCGACATCCACAAGTCGGAAGAATGCCGTTCAGAATGGGTTGAAGTCCGAGATGGTTACATGCCTGATGCTCCAGTTCTTGGCAGAATATGTGGCTCAGGAAAAGGTCCAATGATGCGGTCCACTGGGTCCAGGTTGACAGTTGTATATCAACCGGGTCCAAGGCCTAAACCACATAGAGGTTTCAGGGCGTTCTATGAAGGTTGGTATCGGCATCTTTGTAAGCAATAAACAACACAACAATAACATTTTTGTAAGCAGGCAACAACACCAACAACTTAACATGATGATATAAAACAGAATGTAGATAACAGAACTTTTTATTGAGCATGCGAATAGAAATCCATGCCAATATTTGCACTAAGCGGCAACTCGTATCTCTAATATCGACGAGAGTGTCTCCTCGTTACAGTGGTATTCACTACTGCTGCGCCATATAGGTCGCTTTATATTATTAGGAGTGAATCTCTTTTAACAGTACTATACAAGTTGAGGAAATTGAGCTTGCATCCGCATTATAACCGTTTCTATACTTTATATCCTTTATAGATTATATCCTTATAATTTTGTAAAATTATTGTTTTCTTCAGCTGTTTGTGGTGGTGACATAGAGGTTGATAGCACCGGACATTTGGAGTCACCAAATTATCCTGACGACTACCAACCCAATAAACTTTGTGTTTGGAGACTGTCTGTACCGCAGGTAAATAAAGCTTAAGTTTGAAAGCCAGATGTAAAGATATAAAATATTTAAAAATGAAATGAAATCTGATGGAATAGTAATAAAAAACGAATCTAGATTTTTAGTTTATATAGCTCGAATGTAGTCGAAGAAGAATCAATTTTAACCTTATAAAGAACGACCGATCTAACAAGATTACAAATACATAGGTATATTGCACTACCAATATTAGGTCTTATGGATAGCGACTTTTCTCGACTTTACCTAATTAATATCATTATATTTAACATACGCCTTGTCAATAAAGAGAAGAGGAGCTAAGGATTTCAGAAACATAAAACCAAGCCGAGTGCAAAGCTTGTAATCATAAATTTAATTACAGGATTATCAGGTAGCCTTAAGATTTCACTCTTTCGAAGTAGAGAACCATGACACGTGCTCCTACGATAAGGTGAAAGTGAGAGACGGTGACTCTATTGACAGTCCACTCATTGGCATGTTCTGTGGACACAAGATACCTCCTGATATCAGGTTAGTGACGTTCCATCAAATGTTATACTACAATTACAAATTAACTACTTAAGTACTAATCACGGCATTACTTCTGGTACTTATTTTTAATAATATGTAAAGTTTTTATGTTACGGATATTATATGTCTTGTGCCTAAACATTTAACAAATTTTAATATCTTTATCATACTGGAATTTACAAAACACGATACTTCCGTATTTATAATAATACTGTTATGTAATGTGAATTTAAAGCAGTAAAAGTTATAAAAATAACAACAAAATATTGCTCAAGGGGTTCTTAATTAATCAAATGTTCTTAATTAATACATAGTTTCCAAATTGAGGGAAATACTATTAAATCTGAAGGTCAATTCGGTAAATATTTTTATAGTAACTCTATTGAATATCCTTTTTATGACAGGGGTATAAGTCTTAAGATGCTAGGTCGTAAAGATCCTATCGAAACTGATATCCTATGGCAATATTTAGGATATCGAAACTAAAAGTAGTCTACTACAACTAACCTAATCATTCCAGGTCTACATCAAACAAATTACTGGTGATCTTTGAATCTGACAGCACAGTACAAAAGGCGGGCTTCTCAGCGACATTTATGAAGGAGTTCGACGAATGCGCGTCTATTGAGCATGGCTGCAGCCATTCTTGTGTCAATACACTTGGAGGGTACGAGTGTGCCTGCGATATTGGTTACGAACTGCACTCCGATGGGAAGAAATGTGAAAGTAAGTAACAGAGTCATGCTCCTATTGTATTTGACGACGACGTGACCTGCTCAAGTTCCTGCCGTAACTTCTACACCACGTAATAATGTCGCAAAGCAAGTTTAACGTGATGATTTCATAGAACTGCATACAAAAGAAACCAACATACGATGTTCAGGGTAATTGAAATATAGTGCAAGTTGCGAGAGATAATTGTGCATATCGTGTGCTTTCACATAATAGGACGTATAGTAGTGTCCCACCGTAGCTGAAAATACTTAATTATACTCGTAGAAAATTCTTTGCAGACTCCTTTGAATTTGCATTACGCTATAATGCAAATTTTACGAAATCACTATAGAAGCCATTTAAAATTGTTTTGAGTATAAAATACAATAAATATGTTTTGAAGTATCAATGGTATGTTATATAATATCAGTCAAGACTATTCAATTAAAAATACATGTTTAATATTTTTATTTCAAATAAAATAAATGTCGTGTAAATGTCAATTTTGTCAATTTGGCCGTAATAAATAGTAGCTTCTGTGTTATTGTAGATCTAAAAAGCCGTTTTGGCGTAATTGAGTAACAAACATACTTACGTTTTGATAAGTAAAAAAATAGGTGCCTATTTATTTTTATTTTTGATAAAGAAGATAATTATGCTGAGAGTTTGAAATCGATAAGTTAAATAAGAAAAGTTTTTAAGGGTAATTTTGAAAAATTAGTAACAACGTTTTTTATTACTTTTAATAAAGCGTATTTACTGTGTACTATACTGTTACTTACGTAGTTTGAAAAAGCTACTACCAAAAAAGGACGAAGTTTCATATAAATTTAGAAACCCCATTTCGCACCCAATTTTTAAAAACCCTTTGTTAGTGACTCCTACGTCACCTGAGAAACATTTGTGCAAAACTTCATGCTTCTAGACCCAACGGTTTTAGCTGTGTGTTGATCGATCAGTCAGTGAGTCAGTCTGTCAGTTTCTTCTTTTATAGATGCAGCTCACATATCACGATATGCACACCATACGAATCACAATTAAACAAACTCATAAAACTAAAATTATGGTATGGGAAATTAAATCTGTTTTATCTCTTAATTTTTTTTCCATCTCTAGATGCTTGTGGAGGCTCTTTATACGCACCAAACGGAACAATCACATCACCTTCATTCCCTGATCTCTACCCGCCTTCGAAGAACTGCTTGTGGGAGATAGTCGCACCACCACAACACAGGATTACGCTCAATTTCACCCACTTTGATTTAGAAGGAAACAACATGTACCAACAGGTATTCTCATTCCGTATTCAGTCTCCAAACAGTGTGTGTTACACAAAAAAATAAGTGTTTTATTTCATAGATGTCACGATTCTTATTAAGAAATGTGTTTACTGAAATATTCAAAACTTCAAGAAGGAAATTAATACACAACACAATATATTAAAAACATTGCGGCAGGGGAAAATTAAATGCAAAATTCAAGTAAAATTAAACATACCCGAAATATACATAAAAAAAAATACCCGATAGATTTGCCTAGGATATAAAATAGGAATGGGTTCTTTTAAATACACTCTTCAAACCCCATAAGAATAATAATGTAAAGCAACTTAAATAATACACTAACATATAGTTTTTTGAAAAAAATACGAAGATTATGCAGATATTACTTTACGGATGTTCCTTATTCTAAACTATGGTGAAGAATTGTAGAAGAGAATTCTAATTTTCAGTTATAAGGATAAAAACTAACTAGCATTCTTTAATATAGGGTTAGGTACTGATACCATCTATTACTAAGACAGCATTATAGATAAATATGTAAAATATTTTACGAGAATTTTTCTTTTGCCATCGGCAAATATTTTAAAATAAGCGATTCCTTCTGTATTTGAGTATTAAGTATCAGTATGCTCTTTAACCTCCATTCTAAGAAAAGGCATATGTAGAGCAGTGAACTGTTAACGATGATATTTTTTAAGAGCCTCAATATTTACATTGAAAACTATATTTACGATAACATAATAATATCCTCACATGTGGTTCTCGTATATGCTCACACAAATCCTCCGTTCTTCTCCGTACAATAAGTTAAATCAATTGATAAGGATGTCTTGTCTTATAATTTACATTTACAGAAATACCTACGTTTAAAAAACAGTATGACCCCATAGGTCATTATGTTATATTTTGTTACTAACATTTACAAAAAAATTCACAGGAGTGTGAATATGACAGCGTTACGGTACATTCGAAATTAGGTGCTGATGTATTAAGAAGACATGGGGTATTCTGCGGTTCAGCACTTCCACCTCCTGTTACTTCAGACGGATCTGTATTGAGAGTTCAGGTATTTATATTTCAATTTTTTTTTTTTTTTATTCATACTGTTGGTCAAAACTGTCAGTACGATCGATACGTGTTTGTCCATCGAGTACATAGTCGAACTCATGCCTGCTTCACTTTTCTTATATAAAAACTTAATTGTAAACTAGAGCGTAAAATGTCAAAATTTGACTTCCTTTGATTGATTTGCATTGTTTTATTTATAGTAAAAATGTGATTTCTTTGAAACCTCGTATTGCAGTTCACATCGGACGGTTCAGTCCACCGATCCGGTTTTGCGGCGGCCTATTACATAGACGTGGACGAATGTGCCGAGAATAATGGTGGTTGCCAACACGAGTGTCGCAACACACTCGGCGGCTACGAGTGCGCCTGTTACAGTGGATTCATGCTACACCCTAACAACCACGACTGCAAGGAAGGAGGCTGTAAACATGACGTCACATTACCCTTCGGTACTATAAAGAGGTAAGTATCTATGCCACAGAATATACTTGCTGACTGGTAGTTAGTTAAATACTCCTATAAATTCTTTTTTAAATCGCTTCACTACGAATGATTTCTATATCGTTAAATTTTTTTTTAAATACCTATTCTATGATGTAGCTCTCTAACTCTCTTTCTCTTTGAATTAATCTTTAACAACTAGTTCCGAGCATTTTTGTATAGGCAGATACAGTTTATCGTTTACAGATAAAAAAAAAGCTTTTTTGACATAAAATTTATGAATATGCGTCATGAACGTATAGATGCTACAAAACATTACCTGCTTACACCTGAATACGAAGAGGTTGCGGGCAAGTGAACAATAGCAACTATCACTTTTTAACTTCACTTGTTACAGATATGTCTATGAAGGAGATTGCAGTTCGTTTAGTTAACAGTTGAACGAAATTTGTTGCCAAAAGTCGACTAACGTTAATTTAATTAAAAATTCTAGCGGGTACATTTAAATAAGAATCCCAGTCAAAACATATTCCCTCTTTTATAACTGATTAAAAAAATGATTTTTTTATTGAATACTCGATGAAAGTAGGAATTCTGTAGCAGGATCTCGTACTACAACTGTAGTACTACAATATAACTACTAGAACTTGATGTACTTGATAATAAATGGTTATTAACCTGTAAATGCTAGTATGTAGGAAGTAGTTTTGTGTCCCGCCAACAAAATAATAGTAATTTTCTACCGCATTCAAACAAAGCCATCTAGTCCCAAACTAAGCAGAGCTTGTGCTATGGGTACCAGACAACTGATATAAATACATATATTTACTTTGTTTTGTAAATTTGTACATGTTATACATAGAAACACCCAGACCAAATCAAACATTAAATGTTTGCACACAAATGTTTGACTTGAGCGGGAATCGAACCCGCGACCTTAGAAGTTCGTTACACAAAAGAGTAAGGACAACATCCTCCGATCAGACAGTGATCATGCCTGATGAACCGTGGCCTAACTAGTTGATAAATGTTGAGATGTTGTATAATCGTCGCAAGAACACCTTTGCGCGATGTAGAATCAGTAGTACTACATACTCGTAATTCAACTCGTTTTCGCTAGATGGTGTTGAAGTATGTTTTTCGTTGTTATAGGAAGTCGTAATACCGAGAATACTAGTGGTAATAAGGTTGATATGGCTTTACTAATCTTAGCTCTTCCTCTCCAGGAAATCAGAAAAAAGAGCTCTAAGCTTCATTACAGGAGTGGAGCATAGAGCTCTTTTCCTGTATAAAAAAAATCACTGTTAGAACGAAGAGAGGAATTGTTTTAAACGAAGGTGGCTTATAATCATACAGTTGAAATGGTTTCCATTACTTATAAACGACAATGATACCCAGGTGTTGTAAAAATAAGCAAAAATAAAATTTATCAGTTTAAAATTATTTCCTTCTTCCCAGTCCGAACTACCCAGCAGCCTACCCACCAAGGAAGGACTGCGTTTGGCAATTTTCTACTACTCCAGGACATCGAATTAAACTTATCTTCCAGAGATTCGAATTAGAACCACATCCCGTAAGTATTTCACTAGCTAAATGTACCTATATCCGGAGAGCTGATTCAGATCATAATTTAAACTATCACATAACCACGGACTAATATCAGCCGCAACTTTCCGCCATCGTTCATCACAGCAAAATTTTTATCCTCACCACTAGGGAGGCAATTTATTTATACCATACAATACATTATTATTACAGCTAGACCAATACAATAATGTAAGACTTATAAAAAAAAAAAAAGTTAAGTCGTTGCAATTATTAAAAAAACAAGTCACAAATTACTACTTGATATTGTAAGGGCTGTTGAAGGGATATTGATTGTTTGGTAATACTTGGTAAGTCACAGGGTAAAAACGGTTTGTGTATTAACCTTTGTATGTATTTATTATTTATATGGATTTATATGTATATTGTATGTAGTATGTATATTTATGTGTATGTAGTAGTATGTATATTAGTGTATTTAGTATGTTTTTTTTGAATATATATTAGTTATCTAAAGTATTATAAAGAACACCATAGACTATCCTAAATCTGATTAAACAATATCCGTGTTAAAATTGTCTGTAAGAGATCGCCGCCCGTGAGCGATAAGACCGCCTATTGTATTACCAAAATGTAGATGTTCATCCATGTCTGTACGATATATACTGTAGCGGTGTACAATAAGAATGTATGAATAAATAAAATAATTGGCACTCAACCACTGTGCGCTTTTCAAGACACATTATGCCTTGCACAATCAATCTGTGGAACACGTTATCGTCTGCGGTATTTTCGAACCCGACCAGGCCGCTATACTATTGACTACCGCAGCAGTTAATCTGCCACCAGAGGTCCCACTCTCTGGCAGTCTGCGGCACCGGGGGTGTCGGCGGTGATACCAGCCGTCGACGGCGACAGCTGGTATCGCCGCATTTATTTTTAGTACTAGTTGTGTTAAAGACGTGGTTTGTTAGCATCACAATAATTATTCTGATATAATGTTTAATTAATTATTATTTATTAAAAATAAGTCATTTTTATTAATTTATTATATTACGGTATATTAAATCGACGGCACACGATAAAACACCATTCATACAAAAGAAATTTGTATGACATCAGATTCAAGAAATCGTAGGTATTACACCATCTTTGCATATATGATATGGAATGATTTATTTTATTTATTTATTTACTATCTATTCTAGTAACATCAATAAATAAAACATATTATTTATTTACTACTACTTCTAGACCATAGCATTAAAATACTTTATTCTGAACTACCTTCCAGGAATGCGCATACGATTACGTTACGATATATGATGGAGCGTCAGCAGAAGAGAAGACTTTGGGTCTTTTCTGCGGCAATAGGCTCCCCCATCCCATAGTCGCATCGCAGAACCAGATGTACGTTGTCTTTAAATCGGACGGATCTGTGCAGAGAAGCGGCTTCCTAGCTAACCATTCCACTGGTAAGTCGAAACCCCTTAATTGCAACTGGCTTTAACAAACATTTTTAATTTTAACAAGTACAAACAACAACAACGTAGTTTAACAACCTATGAGTACACTTACGTTTAATTATTATACGAGGCAACACGACGTTTTTTAAATAAATTCAATATGAGAAATGAAAAAGCATCCAATAGTTACAATGCTCTGTCATAAGTCAGTCAAAATGAATAGAAACAAGGCACAATTTTTTTAAGCTCGCTTTAATTAGAGGTGCCTGACTCATAGTAGGCAGTTTTCATCAGAAAACAAAAAAAGATGTGTGAAAAATAGGCAAAGCTTCATCATAATTTCTGAGGTTGATCTGCCGTGCAATCAACAAGTTGCAAAAATAGTAAAAAGCAAATGTTTTATTGATGAACACCTACATATGTCAAAAAGTTTTAAAAACGATTGCTACGAGTAACTGAGTGCTAAGAACAAAAATGTTCTAGTGACATGTTCCAATTTTTTTTCTTAAGAGTCATTTTTTTACAGCTTGCGGCGGTTACCTCGCCGCAACAGACGCGGTTCAGCACTTGTATTCACACGCACGTTACGGAGACAACGCGTATGAGTCTCACGCCAACTGCGACTGGAATATAGAAGCTCCGAGAAACCACTTTGTCAAACTCACTTTCCTGACCTTTGAGTTGGAACCTGAAGCCAACTGCAGATATGATTTCGTGCAGGTGTTTGGGGGACTTGACGGCAGTGGAGGGAATTACGGAACATTTTGTGGAACAAAGGTAAACAACTATTAATGTAGATGTTGTGATGGATGTGTAGTAATTTAATTATGAGCATATATTTTGTATATGTACCTAAATATATAAATATTATTCAGAGAAATTTATTCCAAGATTTACAAAACTTTTTCGTAAAGTAGTGGTATGCACATTATTGGTTTATGTACAAGTAACTTTTTGATGTAGGTATTGTACATATATTGATTACACATTCATCTTACGATTTGCATCTTGAGACATTATTAACCAATCTATTATTAAGTTACTTTTAACGTAAGATAACAAAAGCCTAGAGTATCACAAAAAAAGACGCAAGAATTTTACACAATCGGACTCGCAAATGAAGGGACTCTAGAATTGTATTTTTTGTAAATGTTACTAAAATAGTAGTTTAGACTTACTAACAAAATAAAATTATTATTTGGAAAGACTGTGGTTCTGAGCTTTTTTCGGGAAATCGTTATAACGCAACTCCGTACATTTTTTGCCAGCTCTGATCCTAGCAAAAGTGTTTACACGACTACAATAGTGTTTTCTTGTGTTTCAGTTAGATGAGAGCGATTAGGTCATATCTTCGGCAGTGTGCTGATTCGTATTATTTTCGATTCTTTGGTACATGTTGTTGTACACATATTGGGTACATATTATTTGTTTTCTTGAATATCAAGTACAAAATAGAAATGGTGCTGAAGTATTTTTTTAAATCAAACGTTCTTCAGTCACGTTCTTATTAAGCAGACTATAAATGCTCCATACTTTGCTCCTTAATGTTTAATTATATATTTTAAATGCTCCAGATGCCACCAGAAATAGTATCAACAGCCGAAGCGTTACTCATAAGATTCCGAACTGATGACTCCCTAGTCTTCAAAGGATTTTCAGCATCATACCAGATGGTGAAACCGGTCTGGAGTGAAGAAGACAGTGTGGAAGGTGCTGACTATGATGAAGAAGAGGATGAAAGAATGCCTCCATTGGTGGTAGGTAGGCGAGGACTCCGCGCGCCTGTGCCGCGGTTTGTTCGGCGTCCCACGTGACGCTGGCCACTACCTCGACACCCGCGACACCGCAGACCGCACCGCAACAGCCGCATGTAATGTAAAATTAAAAAGTTTTCGGAAAGTCGGTTTTTTTTTGTTTTTTCAACAGTATATTATCTGTAAGTTTGGTTCAAACCTTTAAAGAAACGGTAATCATCATTGGATAATAAAAGTTACTACATACAATGTTGTAGTCATTTTGTCATTGTTGTAGGGCAATAGTTTGACAGTTAACATAGGAATGTGGATGCGGTTAAATGTTCTTAAAACTTGCTCCAAGAATATCATATACGTTATTTTTTACGACTGAACAAATATGTAAATAACTTGATATTCCTAGTCTAATTTAGGTCTATTACTTAAAATAGAGGTTACCATTATAACACTCGTGAGAAATGTTAATGTCGCATCATAATTACATTGTATACAAGCTTGTTAAAAAAGTTTTACCAAAGAACTATAGGTATATTATTTTCAGTGATAGATTATTATGCGTAAGTCTAAGTTAAATCTTATATTGTTTTAGATATTTTTACGAGTAAAAAAAACAAAACTTATTAAAAAGCGCACATACAATCATTTTTGCCATTGACATGCATTTATGTAACAAGTTTATTACAACTTATTAGGAATAGAATTTGAGACAATATGTAAATTTAAGGGTTAATTTAAGATGTAAAGAGTTATTTAGGCATTCAACTCATATCAATGTTCGAATATTCGTACTGTATATTATACCTTATTATTTAATAAGCATAATACTGCTTTGCAAAATCATTTTGTAGAGTTCAATACTCGTTGTAACATTACCAAAGTACACTAAATAAAATAAAATCGTAAAGCGTAATAGTCCATGAAAACCTATTTTATTGTTTAATAATTACTTTAAATTGTACTTAATATAGTAATACAGTTTACAAACAAAACTGATCGCACCAAATCATTATATATGTTAAAAATAAAACTCTTTACTTAGCGAAGTTGTATATCATCAAAGTTGTTTACAATATTAAGTAGTACAATTTATTATTGTGCCAATATTATAATGGGATACTTAGATAAAAATAATGCCATAGTGTAAAATAGGTTAGTATTTTGTAACTTAATTATGGATATTTATACGTAGGAATGTTATTTTTATTAAAATGCAAAGAAACGTGACTGTATTTTAATTTTTAATACTAATCAACTAAAAAAGTTATGACAGTGCTTAAAATTGCCTTAAAATGTGACACAGACATTTATCTATATTTATATAAGAGATTTCCACGTATATAGTCACTCAACACGATATCTCTGGAACCATTAGAGCTAAAGACTTGAAATTTGGTAGGAATATTCTTTTCACCGAGTAGAGGTCAGCTAAGAACGGATTTTAAGAAATTCAAAAAAATATATTTAAATAATGTAAATAGCAAAACAACGTTTGCAGGGTCAGCTAGTTGGTATATATATATGACTTACAGTAGAACTATGTACCTACCTTTTTTTTTACGTGTGGACTCCCCCTCGGGCCGTCACCCCACCGGGGTTTGCGGCGGGGGTGGTGTGTCGGAATCGGACCGACTAAAACCACACGGTGTGCCACTCTGCGCTTGTAATAGGAGGGATCCGGGAACTGCTATCATTAAGACATCCGGAGGGATCTGGTGAGATGTGGCGGCGTGCTGTTGGCGGTGTCATTAAACATCGCCAACACATTCTATAGTCTGCCATTTAGCTGAATCAGGGAAGCATTCCACTATCATGGGGTGCCAGAATACCTGAGGCGGCGGCGGTGGCAGATTATTTAGAGGAGCTTACCGTTGTGAACGAGGACCGAGATGGTAATCGAAGGTGACGGCCCATGTCGTGCGGTGTTCCACAGGGGACCGTTCTTGGACTCCTCCTGTGGAACGTAGGGTACGACTGTGCCCTTCGAGCTGATTTTTAAAAAAGAATGGCCTTGAGTTTGTTTGCCCTTACGTCTCATAAGGCTCAACCCTTGGAAACGGGTGGTTGTAGATCGGCACAGGTATGTAATAGATTTTCTATACGTATATGTATATTTGTTTTGCTAAATATCTTACAAAATAGAGATTGATCAGAATCGATAGGATAGAATAGACATATTGAAGGCCTTCGATTAAGTCTGGCATAAGGCGCTTCTCTCGAAGCTTCCTTCCTATGGATTTCCCAAAAAAATATGTAACTGGGTCACCAGTTTCCTTGCAGACAGAAGCATTAAGGTCGTTATCAACGGTGCTTGTTTCTGAAATTATAAATTCCTAATTGAAGGATAGAGATGAGATTGGGGTCGACTAAATCTAGTCCATTTTAACCCAAAAAAGACACAGCTCTGAACGTTCACCACAAAAAGATACCATTTGTCTTATCACCTTGGTTTGAAAGCACCTTCCTAACTGGCAAATTTCGTAAAATTTTGGGTTCACTTAGAGGGTAAGGTCACATTAGCCTCGAAGAAGCTCAAAGTGCGGAACAAATCGAGGCAGTATTTCACTCCAGACCACAGTTAGAATAACTGTATAAGGCGCAAGTCCGGCCGCATATGGAATACTGTTCTGTCTGCTCATTTGCCCTCTCTTCCATAAAAAAATATATATTTGAGGAGTAATTTGTTTTTATGATTTATTTTTATAATAACACACCTAAATGGCAACATACGGAGAAACGGAGAAACGTCAAGTACAGGATTTTTCTGTGAACGGTTATCTGTGACACACCCCGTATTGGCAACATTTGAAAAAACGTCAAGAATTGTTTTGTCACTTTTGTTACTTCAAAGAAAAAGTCAACTAGGTATCAATTTATTTATTTCATCTTTTGTGGCGTCTTTTGACCTCATTACGACAAACCTAAACCGAACACGTATTAGATTTCTACGAGGCAACATTTTAGTAAGATGACAGCCTTAGCGTTTAAAGTGAAAAGCAAAAATGGTCAGCAAATATTAAAAGATTTGACCTCTGATAGTACCGTGGGTGAATTGAAGATGTTTTTGTCAAGTATATCGGAGGTTAGCATCGAGCGGGTTTGTGTATTGTGTGGGTATCCACCAAAGCCATTAGACATAAGTAATGACAATAAAAAAATCAGTGAAATAGGTTTGAAAACTGGTGAGACTCTTATAGTTGAAGAAAAATCTATACCACCCACTGAACAAAAAACGCCTCCGGGAACACCTATTCAAAAACCTATAGAAAATGGCATTGTGTCTCATGAGACTATAGGCCCTTGCAGACCTGGTATTCTTATGAAAAAAGTGGTGCCCTCAGATAATTCTTGTTTATTTACTAGTATAGGTAAGTGAATTCTAAATATAAATATCGTATGTGGGTGTAGATCGTACAATAGTGTAAGCACCATTCAACAAATTTTATTGAACATAGTGTTATTGTTTGCACAAAGCAACTCATGTTAACTAATTATATTACAATTGAAACTGTTGTGTTTAATTAACATATGTAATGAATTTAGTTTTTAAATCATTTATTTTAAGATGTCAAGACATGTAATTCTTTGTAAGTGAAAGAAAAAATACTTAATTATATTTAAAAAAAACAATTTCAGATTTTCATTATTAAAAAAAAAAAATAGTGTCCAACTAGAGTTGATAGTTAGTAACTTGGTTGTGTATGTAACCTATGTTTCATTATCAACATATCCCAATGAATGGATTGCTTGGGGTTTATCTTAGTGACATACATTTTTGTGTTCTTCTATATCATAACTGATAAGAAATAACATTCAAATTTTGGAATCTTAGAATAATAAAATACCATCAACATTAATCGTAATCAACAGTAAGTAGTAAGTAGAGATAACACTTCATAAATTAATAGTTCAATGTATTATGTACTGCACCTCTAAGTGTACTACATTCTTGCTGCCTTCTAGTAACTGTCTGTAAAATTACTGAATATTCTTAAGTAACAGTACTTTAAACAACATGACTTAATTATTTAAGTTTCATCATTATATGTTCATATATTGTTGTTCTCTGTGAAAATTTTTAGAACTGGATTACAAAGAGCTTATTACTTAGAGTAGCAGCTTATTACTTAATACTTTTTCGGTCTTTGACAGAACATAAATTTAGAAGTTGTTGTGTAGAAGATATAAAAGACATATCCTTGTATTTCAGGTTTTGTATTAAATGGGAGTGTAGATACTTCAGTACACACACTTATGAGGGAAATTATAGCAATGGAGGTGGCAAGTGATGTGGAGACATATAATGAAGCAATGCTCGGCAAACCCAATGCTGACTACTGTGTGTGGATCCAACAACCAAGCTCATGGGGTGGTGCCATTGAGGTAATTTATAGATATTTTTAAAAAATAAAATTAGGTACATGCTTTCAATTTTAACTATATATCCATATAAAAATCAAGAATTAAGAAAGCGTGCCAAAAAACAAACTAACTTTCACATTTAAAATAAAAGTATGGATAATTATAAATTATTTATTGTAACAAAAGGTGCATAAAACTCAAGAGCAAGTCCTGATTCCCTAACTAGTATAAGTATCGATTAAATCACATTTGCTAATAACTTTACCTTACTAGGATATGTTTTATTTAAGTAACTAATATCAGCATCTGCTGATATTGATCTGAAAAATCAGCAACAACTGATACTACAGAAATCGTAATAATAAGACACTAGAAATGAATTAGCGCTCGATTAGTTCAAAAACCGATGTCGCCACATCTTAACACATACACAAAATACAAACAAATAGGATGTATCGGACACAAACTATTATGAACCTTAATCTTCAGGAATTACATCGCATTTTACTCAAATGTATTATGTGGCACCACTACAATCTCCTTCAATGTATGAGAATCCCTGTAAACGATGCTAGGGATTGATTAACATTGATTATAACAGTAATGAATGATACTTATAAATGAATAGTACCTATTATAATAGCAATATTTGTTTCGGAGTTTGGGTGTTTTCTATATATAATATGTATGTTTTTACAAAAAAATATACAAGTATTCTATCAGTCAATCTAGCTTTCATAGTACAAGCTCTGCTTGTTTGAAACTAGATGGCGTTATTATTATTGTTATTATAATTTAAAATATAAACATTCTGATGAATAAAAAATTATTAAAAAAAAAGCATTAAAATCACAGGTACAAAAAACTGAAATATGTAATAAACAAATACTAAAATATGTAATAAACAAATACTAAAATATGTACTAAACAAATAGTTCCTTTACGTAACACACATATAATAAACAGAGCAGTTTTTTTTTTTATATTTACATAGTGTTACATGTCACATTTACATATGTGTACATAGACATTGTGTTATGAATAAGGGTTTATTCATAACACAATGTCTGATTATATGTATCGTTAATTAAATAAGTAAGTATCTCTAGTAGTTGATGTTATCAGCAACTCTACAAATTGAGTTTATTGAAACGTAAAATGAAGAATTTATTAAAATGTTTTCTTTAACATCAGGTTCTTTCGGGAATCTAGAAATTAATTATAATTATGTGATAAAAAATAGTATCACTGTTTATTATATATAGTATTTTAACTGTTTTAATTATTTATGCTTCTTAAAAAGATAACATTATTTATAGACTTTAATACGCAAACTTAAACAAATAATTATTGTATAATTTATATTAAGAATATTTATCCTGCATATGTCGTTTAGTTTTTTACCTTTTATACTAACATTGATATAAACTGTACTTTTATTCAAATAAATGGAACGGTTACATTACTAACTGGCGACCGATGCCTGCAGCTGTATTATAAACATACGCAACGAACAACGATATCTAATGCTTCACATTACATTGCTTGGCTAGTTTGTCAACATCGCGTGCAGTAAGAACCAAAGCAGCACGTACAAAACGGAAAGTAATAATGAATGTTTACAAAGGCAGATAACTTATTAAAGGATTCATCGAGATGTAAATTACACATTAGCAAAAAATAAACTTACCAATGAAATGTCATGCCTTTATTAGTTGAATTACAGGTCCCTGATGCGTTATCACAACCCATTATGCTGCAGTTCACCATTTTAACAATATAAATTCACATACGAATAATTAGTATAATAATTAGTAGTACATAATTTCTGTAAGTAGTGTTCGCCTACACATCATTGTGGCGACAAGGTCATGCGTCTATGTGACTTCTAGTGTCTTATTATTGCGATTTCTATGTCTGATACAGTAAAAACCTGAATCAGCAACAACCCTTTACAAGTTCCTAATCTCAATGATTTTTGGGGCAAATGATTCTTATTCAAAAAACTTAAACAAATCTATAAATTAAATAAATCAAATGACACATCATTAGTATATTTCAGCTGAAACTATAGAAGAGAAACTAACTAGCCATATTTTACTATGAGCCTTTTAACAACCTCACACACAACATTCTCACACTATTAAGATTCATCACAGACCTTTTCTTCCAGGTTGCAATCTTGTCCCGTTTTTATGGCCTTGAAATGGCTGTTGTGGACACATTGAATGCAATCATAAATAGATTTGGAGAAGATAAAAATTATGGACAAAGGGTATTTCTATTATTTGATGGTGTGCATTATGATCCACTGTATTTAGAAGAATCGGATGTAAGTGATACATGTTTATCATTTAACTTAACAAAGTAGATATTTTTTTCTAAAGGTAAGAAGGCAATGATTAATTACTACAGTCTCAGAGTACAACTATGTGTCTAGACTCACGACATAATCAGAGAGCCGTTAAAGATAAAAAAACACTTACATAAGGAGTCTCTTTTGGACCCCAATTAAGTCACCATTTAGATTTAAACATACTCATGGAATAGAATAGCATATTGTTTTAACTAATATTTCTTGTGTCCAGGGTGGCATACAAACAATATTCGCTGCAGAAGATATGGAAATATACAGAGAAGCAGAGCAAATCGCTCATGAAGCGAAATCTTCCCGACAATTTACCGACTTGAACAAGTTTACACTGAAATGTATGGTATGTAACAAGTTTTTTACAGGACAAGTGGAGGCTCAAAAACACGCTAAAGAAACTAAACACACGAATTTTGGGGAAGTCTAGCAAATGATTTCGTTTTATATATTATATGTATTAGTTGGTTGTGTCTACTCTTATTTTGCAGACGTATGACAATAAAACAGTAATATAGGTACATGTTTTCGTGATTGTTTGATAAAATTGTTTTTATTTGTATCGTAGTCGGTATCGTTACCATAGATTCACAAAGAAGCAGTGTTGGAAGGGTGGCATTCGTCTTGAATCCATGACCCATAGGAAGGATAACTTACTGCTGTGCTATATATGCACCGCCACTGAACGTCTGTTGTCTTCATATTACTCGTAGCTATAATATCCAGACCACTGCTGGAGACGTTTTCTTCTGTCGTAACGATAACCAGCCATTAAAAACTTCGGTTCAATGGGTAGTTAGGGATTATTTCTCAAAATGTTTAATAACAATTGAAACAGATATGTTACCTACATTTCAGTTAGTAGTCAATTACCATTTCATGCACGGAGTGATAACTTTAAATTAATTGGACTATTTTTCGAAAGACTTGTTTCTCATTGAATAGTTCCAAGATGGAGTGGGCACAACCATAAAACTTCACTATCATTTTCTTATGATTTAAAATAGTTTCTCAATTTCTGAGGTCTTTCTTACATTCGAAACTTTAAAATTAACATTTAGTATATATTACTCATTCGTATTGACAGGAATTTTCTTCATGGAGAGACTGAAGATGTTTTTAAATTATTTAAAATCAAATCTACACCTTAGCAAACTGTTTTGTATAATTATAATAAAATATATTTTTTTTACATTATCACGAACCGCAATGAATGGAAATTATTAAATATATTAGATTTCAAATCAACACCACAGCATGTTCTGTGTTAATAATTAATTACTATTATGTTGTATCAATCTTACACACTTAATGTAATTTTAATTAAACCAAGACATGTCAAATAAGTACATTATACAGGATAACTTTAAATATGTAGAACATGGTTAATATTTGTAATTTTTCAAGAGGGGCTCTGACCAACCTATGCTTGAAGAACTACTAAAAATAATCCAACCAGTTAGTATGACAAAAATCAACCTGGGGTGAGTCGGTCAGGACCTTATCAAATGATAGATAGAGAAGTGTTAAATGTTATTACAATTGACCTGCATATAAAAAAATATTCATGAACATCTTAGGAACTGGATCAGTTATTTATCGCAGAGGAACTTTAAAAACATGAGTGTTATTCTTACTTGTGTAATAGAAATAACCCATCAGAAAAAGGAAATAGGTCTAATAGGCACACCTACCTCACTCAATCAGTCGCAGGTTGTAGATTGTATAAGGCCAATGGCTCTTGAATTTATGGCCAATCTATGACGTGATCCCATAACCGAGTTAATCCATATGGGGTGGGATTTTCACTTAATTTTTTTTATTTGTAACGAATAATATTTGAACGATTGTTAGTTCTACAATTCCCCCGAGCTATGAATGAAAGCCATGATAAATTAACACATCTGTATAGGTACCTAGGTTATGTTGCAATAGAGTGTTGCATGCACGCAAACTAATACCAGGTGCTTAGATTAATCTAAGCAACTGGGATTAATTTGCGTATAATCACCCGTGAAAATTTATTTATCTAATTTAGAAATCGTGAACACAAAGATGGTTTTAAGGTGGAGAATAAACAAACTTCAATAATACTTCGCGAGTTCTATGACATTTTAAGAGTAATAATAGTCTTGCATATACTTTCTTTTTCGTTTTGAGTATTAAATGTCACTGATACTTTAATTCAGTGTAAGTTCACGGTGGCATTGAACGAGATTTCCCTTGCAGTTCACTATTTTTGTTGGGGATTGACATTTAAGATTACCGACTACTCTTGTTCTCATTAGACAAAATTAATTCTTACTGTATTTATAGTTGTATTATTGTCATACACATATTAAAATGTTCCATGTTGTTGGATTTTGAATATAGGTTTATTAAATCTAACATCTACTTACTATGACGATATTAATAAATATACATATTTATATGAACAGTTGGTGAGAAATGATGTTGCAACTTCTAAAGTTTAAATAATTTATGGTTTGTTGATTTACTTTCAACTGTTAGATTCTCAGTGGAATGATGTGTTATACAAAATAATGGCGACTTGAAAAGCACTAACAACTAAGGCAGTTATTTTAATTAGGTATGGATCGCAAATCTGAGTGCAACATGACTTGTAAAATGTAAAATAAATAATGCTCAAAATGGCAGAAATAAAATTTGATAAATTACTTAATGTATTTTTTCTTTTCATCGCCCTTTGTTGAATTCAAATATTTGACGATGACCTGCGTTGCCAAGTGTTAGGAATTTATATTGTTGAAATAAATCTATCTAAATAAATTATGATTATCAAATAGATTAAATTAAAGTATTAACAATAAATATTTTTCTGACATACTGAGGTCATGCGCTGGCGCCACACCACGAACGAAGGGTGAAAGGCGACGTAGAGCGGTGAAGTCATTGTTGTAGGCATCAGTCTTATCGGAGTCGTCGCGGTACTCAAACAAGTATTAAAGTAATGTGTATGTATCGAATGCATTATCAGCATACAAAAGTTTTGATTGCATAATGTTATTCCTTTAATTTAACAAAGTAACGACGTTACATTTAAGGTACATGAGCTGTTAAGAGTTTATACTTACTTGGTACGAATAAACGTTATTAAAGTCAGTAATTTAATAAAAGTACATACTAGTAGCATGTGAATACTAACCATGGCGCAGAGATTATAAAATATTATAATAAATTTAAGAGTTTTACGCATGGTTGCTGCTCCGTAATTTTTATTTTGTATAGGCCTATTACCTACATAATATATCTAAAAAAATTCATTTCTTATTTATTCTTCGATAGGTAAGTACCTTTCTGTTATCATGTTTTATATTAGAATGTTGCTACGTGCAGTAGTTATCTATGTTACGATTACGACTGCAATATTAACCTACCTACTTAATAATGAATCATACGAACGTACTCCTTTTTTCGAAATAAGTGTTAAATACCCCAAAGCATTGGGGCAATGTAGTGAAACCTTCTTGCGGTTCTGAAATAGACCAGTAAAAAACGAAAGAACAAATTTTCATTCTCGGTCGAACTTTCAACACAATAGGTAATTAAGTAAGTTAATTTAATAAAAAATCTTATAGAAATAAAATAAAGCAGAGAAGGGCAAGCTAACGACACTCCATGTCCGTACATAACCGATTTAAAACGTTTTAAACAAAATGTTACCGTTTTAAACCCTAAATAAATCGTTATAAACGGTTGAAAACTCGTCTACATAAATAAAAGAACTGTTTCACACTTCATTGTGGGCAATTTTTGGTCACCTGACGTCGTGTTTCGTTTGAATTAGTTTATAGAAAATCAATAGAAAGTACCTACCTACATTAACTACTACACGAAAACTTAGTATGTATGTAGGTACCTGTAATTAATTATTATATTTTATTACACACACTAGATTGGAAGACATCATTATAACGTTATGTCTTCAAGGGCGCCGACGGTGTCAACGAGAGTGCGAGTTTGAGTTTGGTTTTATACCGAATCAAATTGATTATTTATATCGTTCGAAAACAATAAAAAAAATAAGTTTATTTACCAATACAGAGCTTTTAACTTATCAATGGGGTTTTAATAACTTAGTTAGGTAATACCAATGATATATAAACAATAATATGTCATAAATTATAATATGTCATTGGGTAATACCCACGCTTGGTCGGACGGACCAACTAGAACTAAACCCGCTAAGTATATCAATATCAATATATCACACATAAAAATCTTTACACAGTTTATTATTATTATTATTTTCATTACTCCATCATATCCCTACCTCGGTAAAATCAAGAAAATGTAGTTAGAGGTAATTAACCTGTTAACCGGGGAGTTCCCGTTCAAATTATGCAACATGTACCAGGCGCGTATTGTTTCGCTAGGACATGTCAATACGTCACGCCAGGGGACCGTCATTTCGTTTTTCTATTCATGCAATAAATGAAAAAATATGAAATATAGTATATTAATATTTTTGAAGTACAAAAGGAATCACAAGACAAGTAAAAGCAAGTAAACAAAATAGAATTACAGAGGACGTATTCATATGTCCTACCCGTATCCGATATTGTTTACGCCTGACGCATTTATACGTCTTGTCCGGTAAACAGGTTAAGAAAAACATAGTCATCAACACCAACCGTTTTAAATGGAGAGAAAAAAAATATTTCGTTTTAAACGGATTGGTTTAATTGGTTATAAACCGGCCTTACATCTATATTAGTGATGTGCCGGATCGTTAACAAAGTATATCCGCGGATACGGATCCGGATACGGATATTTGGTGTCAAGATCCGCGGATATGGATACGGATACGGATCTTAAGTTTCTTACTCAATCGGAGCCCGTGACCTTGATAGTTGTCGCCACTTGACGCTTTGCCGTTGATATTTAAATATTTCATTATTTTAAGTAATATAGTAAACAGTACAGTATATATAATAAACAACAACTTTTCTTCTGGACTAACACCGAAAACGAAAGAAAAAAAATTGTTTCTCCATACAAACTAACAACATTTGATTGGTCATTTAAATGGAGGGCCATTTTTTTTCCATTTTGACGTTAGCCAGAAAAAAAGTTGCTGTTTATAGTGTTACAAACACATACCTAAGAGTTTTACAGTGAATACAAAATCACCTATATAGAATTTCATCTATGTAATATGTATTGAAAGATCCGCCAAAAAAGTCACGGATACGGTTACGGATCTCTCTTCTCCCCTGGATATCCGCGGATACGGATACGGATACGGATATCCGGCACATCACTAATCTATATCCATTCACGAGTAATCCAAGGTAGGATATTCATTTCACGATATTAACTAACATTTAATTAGAAGCGGTTAAAACTTGATGTTGATAGAACCTGCTGAACTTTTGTCTAGTCAGCTTAATGCGCATTTTGAACGCG